CGGGGTGGGATGGGTGGGTAATAAAGGGGTTAGGTGTCAATTGGAACGAAAGTTCTGTTCCCTTCTCCTGCCATTCCTGTGGCGAATGAATTAACTTAAAACTAAAACTAAAAACTAAAACTAGCAATGAATACTAATTTCTCATGTAAGAGGCTGATTGGAAGTATACGGAATGTTACCATCTCACAATACTTTGTCCGAGCAGCGCAGAGTTTTCATTGGTTACCGTTAAACGCTTTCCAGTAGATACTGCCGAAATTGTAAAGTAAGCATACTCAGGATCTCACAATATGTGCTACCCTAGAACAGAAAAGGACATCTTGCATTAATGATTTATACAAAGGGAGAGATGTGCCCTGGGGCTGATTTTATCTTAGGTGACACTGTCTAGATTAAGATTCTGAGAAACAATTGGTTTTCAACGACAAACCTATATCTAGTTTGCGCGGTTTTTTTTTTTCCCTCAAGTTTCAAGTTTCCAAGTTTATTTCGCACTATTCAAATTAATACAGTATAAGATGACTTAAATGACTAGGTGAAGAAGATCATCAGAAGTAGATATCATGCAGGTTTGTATATGTGTGCACAGTGACCAAAGTAGCCGTAGCTTTCGTGTTGGTCACTGCCTCCAGGACTTGAAGTGATAGTGCTCTGCAACTGAGATGGTTTCAAACATTCGTTTATTCAGTTTTCTTACATAATTCACTCAACGACGTTAACTATTTGATTCACTCATCTTTAATTTACCGAAATATATATTAAAACTGAATCTGGCATTGTAATTACAAACCTTATCGTAGCATGTAAACATGGTTTGCAAATAAGTAATTGTGTGCTATTTGGTGACTGGGAAATGCGTTCTGAACGACTGGAAATGGAAAAATTATGTGCCTTTCTACAATTACTTTTCTAAGTTCGCTACGCTAAATCAAGTCAAAATTGTCTGTAATTTTTCTGGATAATATTGGTATAGGCTTAGCATGTGTTTAGTTACTCATTTATTCCCAGTTTTTTAGCTATGGCAATGAGTAATTTGCTTTGTGCGTCTACTGTGGCTTGAAGTGTCTTTATTTGTTCTTCTTGCCTTTTTATTATGTGCTGATCGTACTCATCCAAGTCAGCTTCAGCTTCGTTTTGGCTGGAATCGTTCTTGCTAATGATATCCAGAAAATCGTCATTTGAGAGACCCGTACCAGATAATACAAATCTGAAAGGAAAGCAGAATTTGTGACACTTTTTTAACGAAAGAATTGTCACGTGCCATGTTTCCAGGAAAATTACCTATCGTTAGAGCATTTCCTCTTTGCAATTTTCTTTAAATAACAGCAGTCGCCTTTGTATTCTTCTGCACTTCTAATGAAAAATTTCGGTGAAATTCTGAAGTTTAGGAAGTCCCTTCTCAAGAGACAGTGTGTGGAACCTCACTCTTTGTCCAAGTCTTTTCTACGTCAGTTGTCGGTGGCCTAGAAAAAGGTTACCTCCTCACTGTTTTATCGGAGATATCTGCTATACAGATATTACAACACTTCCATTTAGAGAATTCTACATTTTAAAACTGGGCTTAGAGAAGTTGGTCAACATGTTTCGAGCACGACTAATGCAACGCATACCTCTTAACCTTCGTGTACTGATTCAGTTTTAACTCAAGGTATTCTTTGTAAGTTAGCCGTGACATCTATGGCGGATATCTGTATCTTATGCTATCCTATATTATCGTTTTAATGGAAAATATACCTCTTAATCGTCGTGTTCTGATTCAGTTTGAAATCAAGGTAATCTTTGTAAGTTAGCCGTAATATCCACGTCGGATATCTCTTCCGTATACTATCCACCAGCAAAGCTTGATCTATCAGATTTCGCAGAGTTGCTGTCTTCTGAATAGAGTCAATGTCTCCAACGGCCAGACCAACCTAACAAATTAACAGTTATTAGAGCAGTTCTCGGTTGAATCTTTTAAAACCAAAGTTAACTATCAATGAGATCAATCAGAAAAAAAAAAGGAAAATTAAGAACACAAGGTAAATCATGTATGCAAGTAAGTAACACGCTATATAATTATGTACAGGAAAGATCCCCAACTGGAGAAATACGTTAACTAAAGCAAAGCTATCACTAAGGCTAATAAAGAGAAAAATGACATTTTTAAAGTAGCAAAGTAACTCATACAACTAAGTAACTAAGAAAGAAGGTAGTGTACGTGTCAGAGCGCTCAATGAAGAATTTAATTTATGAGATTCGCCGACAGGTAGGGACACCGCAACAGCTTGCGCCAATTATTGCGGGCCCAGTAAACCCACCCATCCCACCCCAGGGGAGGACATCCACCACACAGTAATCTCGTGCGTGGGAAATTAACGTCTCCTACCCGTAACCCTGCAGGAGACGGGGCCTACGGTTTATTCGTCCTTATCCGAGAAGACTAGATTATCTATCCATTTCTTGTTATTATAGAAAGGTAGCAAATTCTCCTCAGTTATTTTAAGACCCTGAGTGTTGGTCCGGCCGGGGCTTGAACCTTCGACCTCACACACAACAGTCCGGCGCTCTACCAATTGAGCTAACCAGGAGGCGGTTAGCTCAGAGAAATCCAGCTTAGGACCCTGGGTTAGGAATTAAGATGACTGAAAAGACAGTCGGCTTTGGGTGTTTGTAACCCTTTTTTTTTTTTTTCTTTTTATCGTACCATCAAACATAGTGCTAGTTATGCCGGGTACGCTGCTAGTAGGACCACCGACTCACCAGGAGATTCATAAGGACGACAGAGACCGACAAGACGAACACTACGAACAAGACATACGACAGTTCCGGGAAAGGAACGTACAGAATGCTCGTGCCCGGGACTTTGGCGCTGTTCACCACGTTGTCAGAAAGCATATCGGTGTAGTCCACTTCCCCCAACATCATTACAAATACTTTCACCATCGAAAACCAAACAGATGAAAAGTTATCCTGAAGAGAAAGATAACATGAGCACACACAGTGAACAGGATGTCTAATACACTGGAAGTCGTGATCAACCTTGACGAAAATTTAAAGAGAATTTACATTCTATTGTAGTTTTTAACACGCATACCGAAATGAGCCAGAAAAAAACTCATCCAGTGACCGATACTGGTTTTTCGACATAAACTAGATTAGAAGAAAAAATTTCTATCCTCTATGATAACAATAATAATATTAACAAATACTATTTCTTTTTTGGAATCTTAGATGTGTATTTTAATTTAATTGTACATAGATTTTGCTTTGTAACATTTAATTGTTATGGTAAGAAACTCGATTGTATTTTTGGGCTGGTAAGATTGTAATTAATGCTAGATCCCTTTGACATTGAAATAAAATTGTTATCATTATTGTCCTAGAGCTCAAGATGAGTGCTTTTATTATATTGGCGCAATTTTCCGGCTGTTAATATCATGGTATTGTTGTTGATAGTCATACACGTGTACAAGCCTTCCTCGTCATCTCGTGCTCGTTTACGCATGTATTGCGGGCGGAATTTCATGCTAAAGTTAAAGAAAATTAGAAATGCTGCATGCAGGTGCACGCCGGATACGTTACAGCGCCACGAAAGTATTTACCTTAGGTGTGGAAAGATAAGAGTCTAGTTGCTCATTTGTTTATGCTTATCAACCTTAAAAAGAACACAAACACAGTTGCAAAATAACCGTGGAAGCTTTAGCCCTAGGCCTGCAACATTGCCATGAAACGATGACTATACACATCAGAAGGCAACGGACGACGTCACAACTAGTTCATTTCGTCCATGTTACCACAAACAGATATAGGTCTTTTTATTGTAAGTAATCAACATTGCACAAAGTTAGCTTCAAACATCTTACCTCTTCTTTTAAAAGAACGAAGAAGACCAATGTAAATCCCAAGAGCAAGACGGCAAAGATGAGAATTACCTTCGCAAATGTCAGCAGCACCTCGATGTACATGGTTATGTACAACGACAAGGAAGTTACTCGACGTAAAGAGAGGCACCAATTTGTGTAGCATAGCAATAAGGCTAAGGTTCCAAAAGTCCACTGTACGCGAACATCTCCGTAAAGCTCTTGGTTGGCCAAATAAGGTAGAATGAAGATCAAAGTGCTCATATACATGCTTAGATCCACAAAATTTATGTAATCCTTAAAGTATTCAAGCCGCTGCCAAAATATCTGAAATATTTCTTTTAACAAGGATACAACTAAGAATGCAAAGATAACTCCTGGCAGGCTCTTCGAATCCTCGCCAGCCTCGGTAATTGCATTACCACTTGAAAAGTTCACTTTGTCCCTTTGCTGCACGATGAACACGGAAAAAACTACAAGAAATATGATGAAAACTGCAAAGTTAAAATAGTTAACATACTTTCCTAGAACAAGCCATTTCCAATTCAAAAGTGTCTGCGTAACACAATGATCCAATAGGCTCTCTCGACGATACTTTGCCATGCAAGCCGGACCAAAAAAGTAATGATGGCCTGATGTATCATCAGCCGGATCCAAAGGAAGGAAATTGAAAGACACCGTGAAATCAGGATGATTAGTTGGCAGGTCGCTGTAGCTGATGCACTGATCCAAAACAATTTCTGCTATTCCCGGGAGCTTTTCTATCAGTTTCTCCATGGGTTTAATTTGGTCCACAGGAGTATTGCACAAAACCTCCTTCCATCTAGAAAAAACGTCAAAAATTTACCAAGAGATAAGATCGATTTCTAACATAATAAAGTACCGAGGAACTTATGACAGCTACTTGATGCTACAGGGGTTTGTGTTGACGGGTTTCCGGTCAGACGGCGAGAGCTCCACTTTCGAAAAACACTGTGTAAAGTTTTCCTTCACCCAGTCTATGGATCAAGCCGGGTGAGGCATTATGAGAAGGTAGATAATCCTAACTACAATGAAGCCTAATGGAGACATCTGTTTTCAATAAATTAAGTTTCAGTTAGCATATTGCTAAGCGTTAGTGAAGAAAGGATCACGCTAGGAAAAGGAATTCCTTGTGACGCGTTGTTTTTGAAACTATTTTTTCACTAGGTCACTCCTATTTTGGAGATCCTGTGCAGATAATTTGAGTTATTCACCAAATTCATTCTATCAGGTAGATCCCAACTCGATCCTGCAAAAGATAGTCTTAGAGAAATTACCTAGGAATAACGTTTATAGGAAGGATTTAGTCTCATCTAGCTAACTTTAATGAACAGAACGTGCTAAACACTCTTTACCTTTTATGCCTGACGAGTGTCTCTGCCACTTCAACTGAATTCCACTCGATAGCCTCGTCGAGACAGGTCATATTCTTACTATTTCGAGCAGCGACATCAGCTCCTTGGTCCATAAGAAACTTTAAAATTTCGACACGATTATGCATTCCTGCTACATGAAGCGGTGTGTTTTGATCCTTATCTTTAACCTCAAGTGTATTTGGCAGCATCGGAGTCAACAACAGTCGCACAGTTTCCAATGAGCCAACCTCGACGGCTAGATGAAGTGGAGTGCTCTGTTGGTTGTCACGTGCGGTTACGTCACTTCCTTTAGACATCAGAACAGCGCAAGTTTCTCTAGGACACAAAATTGGTGGACGGTGCTGATAATTCACTAAATAGATTCCTAGAAAATGAGGAGATAAGGGAAGGGAAATCCATCTGGTTTTGTATTGACATCTTTGGCGATAAAAAGGAAAGGCTTTGTACATTTTGCCAAAAGTTTAGGAATTAGAGAATTTCCAAAAATGCTTTAGAAGCGGATCAGCCGCTAATTGGACTCGACTGTGAAGAGGCGTTGGGTTGTGGATAGCTGAAGACCTTGTGGGTGCAGTACAGTTAAGTAATTACTCCGAAACACTGAAAATTCTCGGGAAGTGTACAATTCCGGAATTCTGATAAGCCGCACTTCTATGAAAAGAAATAAACAGTCAAAAATACAAAGAAGCAAAAACACAAACAAAAAACTTACAAGTGCTTGTTATAAGCCGCGAGATGGAGTGGACTCCTTCCGTCCTTATCTCTGTCGTTTCCGTAAATAAAAAGCGCCTGACAACTCAGTAGAGATTCAACACATTCCAGTGAGCCATTTTCTGCTGCAACATGAAGTGGTATTCTTTCGTTTTTATCCCGTTGTCTCAACCAAAAGTCGTCTCGAAGAACGATGTCAAGAATCTGTGGAAGACAAACAAAAGAAAGTTAATTTTTAAATTGGTAACAGACAATTCGCATTAGCACGTACTAAAATAGTAGATATCGTCAAAGACGCACCTGATTGGCTTATCAAACTTCAAATTTCCGCTGCTCTTCACCTTCGAGCGACGCACATGCGCACGGGATTTGCGATTTTTCAGTGTCTGGTAGCTCACGTTGGATACTAGCCACCTCCGATTATCTTACGAAGTGATTCTTTGTCCATTTAGTACATGCGTCGAAGTGGAAAATGGGGAGGGGTTGGGCATTGAGAGAAAATTTGAAGAAAGAGAGAGAACTGAGAGAACCAGCTCGAATAAAAACAGAGAGATTCAAACAAATTGCTCCGTCACTAAGAAGCTGGTACATGTTTACGTATGCTAATAAACAGCCGTAGGGTAATCAGTCCAACTATACTTTGTATTTCACGCCTTCTCTCATGACGTAGCTAAGAAGGGTTGAAACTTCCGAGAAACTTCCCCACGTTATTGCTGATGTCCAAATCGGATATTGGATTCAGCGGGCTGTTTCATGAGTCAGGTTACTCGATCTCATTAACTATACAATCATGACCACCGATTCTCTCCTCACAGACTGGAAATGAACAAGAAAACTCCAACTCACCTCTTTTTGCTTGACAGAAGCCGCAACATGCACGAAAGTTTGTAGCTCGTTATTCCTCAGCTTCATCAGATTTTCTATTCCTTCAGTGACCAGCAGCATTTTGACAATCTCTACGCGTTTGTGTTTCACGCCTAAATGAAGGCAACTGTTGTGCTCGGAATCGACTGCCATAATGTCTGTTCCTTGTTTGAGCAGCAGCTCTGCTGTTTCTCTAGATCCATGAACAACAGCACCCAGAAATGGAGTCATATCCATCATATCTTTATCCTCCTTATCGGCTCTATTATCCAACAAGATTTTGACTATATTCACCTGATTGAATATAGCAGCCCTTGCAAGAAACCAAAAAAAATCCAAAAATGATTACCTTGAGAAATTATTACTGGCGAATCGATCGAAATGTGCATTTAAAATTTTTGCCAACAACCCAGCCATTTTATTTAGTTCGACCACTGTGACAGTATCTTCGGGTTTTGAAAGGATGTATTATGCTGTCGCACTTCCACGTACCTGCAAAATTGCTATTCAGTGAAAAATGTCTACAAAAAAGAGCCGCCCCATCAACCAGATAGCAGTGTATCCGCTAGATAGCGTTATCTAAACCAAAGATCCTCTGTTGCTTACAACATCGAAGACGAAGGTGTCAGTTTTGCTGTAGAATATTAAGGTTACGGATCACCTTTTAACTTCAAGACTTGTCACGTGTTATTACCTATGAAGGGGCGTCTGCAAATGTCCATCTTTGCGAAAAATGTCAGCGCCACAAGAAATTAACAGCTTTGTTATTTCCTCGTGGCCATACATTGCAGTGAGATGGAGAGGAGTGCTGAAATTCACTCCGGTTATTGCTTCATAATCCGCTCCATAACGTAGCAACAATGCGGCGACTCCAGAACATCCCTTTCGACAACATATGTGCAAAGCTGTATTGTCCTCGACATCTTTAGCATCCAAAAAGTCTTTCAAAGACGGACATTTATTCTTGGCTACAAAAGAAAGCAATATTTTTCAAAATGATGGGGGACAATTCATGTAGATGATTCATATTCCATCTGACGATGGCGTCTGTATTCTTATTGATTACACATGGAACTGAAACATCATCTCACTTGTGTAAGGTAAAGTTGCATTGCGATTTTTCGTTTTGTTTTGTTTTGTTTTTTTCCTCGAGTTTCATGACGAAAGTATTACGGATTGACTCATTTTGATAGGGCACCTGTAGTCTAATGACCTCTGTCATCAACAAAATGTGATATAGATGTACCTGTGGAGATGAGAAGTTCACAGACACCTGTGTTTGCGTTGAAAGCCACAAAATGAAGTGCAGTCGAAAGGTTACCAGTTTTTGCAAATAAATCAGCACCATGTTTCAAGAGCATTTCACAAAGCGAACGGTCACCACCACCACTCGCCCCATGGAAAGGCGTAAATTCTGCCGAGTTAGGACGGTTTACTTCAGTCCTGGAATCCTTCAGGAGTAGGGCTGCTATTTCATTGTACCCTCGCCGAGCAGCGAAAAGGAGTGGCGTCTCGTTTTCCTCGTCAGGTATTGAAGGGTCTGCGCCTTTTTGAAGTAAGATTTTTACAACCTCTGTGCTATTATTTCTAGAAAATAAATTGAGATATACATTTCTGTGGTCTACGAGGTGAAATGCAATGTTAAAGACAGAATTTCAAGTAAACGGGCGCTATCATGAATGGTACATATTAGAAGTAGATTAATGAAGATTTGGAAGGAGCTAAGAGACTACTAACTAGGTTACTGAGATAAGTGGAAAAAACAATTTTTTTGGCCCAGAACACGTGGGAGCCTTTTCTTTTCTGAGGCTTCTGAAAGAAAATGGGACGCCTGCAATAGTTATCCAGAAGAGCGGTTTAATTCAGAGTGAACGGCGCTTAAACTTTCCAAAAATAACTTCGGATCAGCCAAGATCTGAGAAATAGAAGTTATCTTCCTTAGACATATCAAACGTTCTTGAAACATTTGGAAGGCTTTGGCGACAAGTCACCTTCCAACAAACAATCGAGATACATTCAACAACATGCATCATAAACAAGCTCATAACCTTCTGAGAAGTTATATTAGAAAGTTTCATTTTCAAAGGGATGCATTGGAAGACAAATAAAATTAACCTTTTATGCTAATTAAAACAAGGGCACGTGACAGCTTTGACGCTCGAGAAAACAACCGTGCCTGGTTGCCATGTAGAGTGCTGATTTTGTTACTTGAAACAATACGGCCTGGGTTCCAAGATATCCATGATATAGTTGAAAAGACTGAATAATGTATAATGTCAACTTTAGGAAATGAAGAGTATGGCTACTAAATGCGTAGTGTTAAGACGAGAGACTTATCTACCAGGTGTATAGACCACTTTCATAAATGGCTGCCGGACTAATAATCTTTTGTTTAAATTTAAATTAGCCCTACTGGCCTCGTTCTCCAGTACAAAATTCAAAGGAAGACATTATCTCAAGCGAGGCCAGTAGGGCTAATTTAAATTTAAACAAAAAAATATTTATACGGCAGCCAATTATGAAAGTGGTCTATTTGTTCAAGACTTCAAAAGAGCTCATGGAGTATGTAACTAGTGGTTCATTCAACCAGTATTTAGTCAACTTACACGATTCTCTAAGGGTTAAGACCCTTTATTTTACTATTGTTTCAGATCTGCATCCATCATTTTGATTTGAATTCTTCACTCCACAGGACACTAAAAACCGAGAAATACATGTTTGCATTCTGGCCTCTACAGTCGCCTTTCAACCACGAAGAAAGGCCAACCATAGCTTGGATTTCGGTTTATAAAAAGGGAGAAGGAAAATAATGATCAGGGTTCTATTAAAGTCAAAAATACTTTTGCAGGTAACAATCGGAGTCCTTTGCTAATAATAGTCAGATCATACCTGACGGCGATATTGAGAGCAGTGAGCCCGTAATTTCCTAGTGCGTCGATTTCGACCCCCTTATCCAACAGCCAGATAACCTCATCAACTTTGTTGCATCGTGAAGCATGGTGAAGCAAAGTAAAACCCTCTTTGTCCTTGGCAGTCAGTAATTCCTTGTCTACAGCTCCAAAGTCTGCCTCCTTTAAGTTAACAGCATCGAAAATACTGGCGCCTTTACCACGAGACAGCATCTTTAGGGCTCCGTGACAAAGTCGCTCCCCTTTCGAATTCTCGTTTGGCAAAAGTATTCTGTCTAGTTCCAAGGAGTGATCAGGGTCCTTCATGGTGTTACTTAGGGGTGAAACCGTATTTCTACTAGATGTACTTTGTTTCAAATGGACTGCTGGACTTCCTAAAATTAAGAGAAGCAATGTTGGAGAGACACAGTCAAAAGAGAAACAAAAATAATTGATGCAGTCGAATTCGCTATTCTTAAATTCCTTGTTGATTAATCTTGACTAAAATCAAGTCAGTTTTAAATCACCCTCAATTTATCAAGTTTGGAACGACACTTCAGCTCCTCACCGACATGAAAATCACTTTGGGTTCAAATCCGCTTTGAAAACCCTCCTGCTGGTCGGAAAATTATAATCATGACCAACAAGGACTCTATTCTCCTGGAGGGACATGATACAAATCTTAAGCCAGCTCAATATCAAAGGACATGAGTCGTTCAGTTTATAGCTTGTTCTCTTCTGGTGGCTTGAAAAAAAAAAGTGATGAAAGTGATGCCATTTTCGATGCAATGATATACGGGAGTTTTTCAATAATGAGCCCAGCAACCAAGCCTTATTGGTTTTAGATACAATGAATATATGAAGTTCATATATTTTGAATTGCGGTATTAAATACGTATGATGCACGATCCTTCGTAGTAGATAGCGCTATTTATGCAATAGCGAAAATCAGACCTGAAAAAAATCAGGCCTGTACAGGATTCGAACCACTGACCTGTACAATCCCGTACAGGCCTGATTTTTTTCAGGTCTGATTTTCGCTATTGCATAAATAGCGCTATCTACTACGAAGGATCGTGCATCATACGTATTTATTGGTTTTATCATGACAAATTACACGAGTGCTCTTCTGATCGAGTATTGCTTTGGGTAATTAAATAAATGTTCAAAAAGATAATAAAAACTCATTAAAACTGAGATCTCAGCCCGTTTATAAAGTTCAGTAGGAAAATTTCAGCTCAGTCACCCACATGTACATGCAGAAAGTGTGACCAAGCAGTCGAAGCTATGTTGGTCCTACAGGTACGAGAATACTTTGAGGCTCTCACAAAATACGAAATTTCGGCAACCTGGAGGCTGGCTAGCTCACATTGTTATAAGAACGAATATAAATTTTACAGATGAATAGGAAGAGTGGTAAGGCAAGGTCGCAAACGTTAAGCCAGCCTGCGGGCTAGTAAATTGCATGAAGAGGCATTACAAAGAAATGGGTCCTGAATAGGATACCACTTAACTGAAATAAGCGTGTGGTGGAGATGGGGAGGGGGGGGGGGGATAGGCGACACATGTGTCACGTAATCAGAGTTAGAGAAATAAAAGACAGGTACTTCATAATCTGTGGAAGCGGTTTCGATATCTAATATAGTTACAAACTGATAATTGACAGAAAGTAATAAGTAGAGTTGCTACCTTTTCCATCTGAGAATCTCACATAATCTTGTTCTGTTAGTTTTATATCCTCCGCCATATTTGACGGACGAGTGCACACACGGGTAACTGATTATTAACGGCAGGAGTCTGACAAAGGAAGCAACATATCCTACGAAACAACGATCAAATTTTGTGATGGAATCGAACAGTGCGTAAATTAAGGTTCTTTGTAGCTGAGTGCTTTACACAGTTAAAAACTGTACAGATTGTTTTAACACGGCACGATAACTTACAAACATAATTACTCAAAAGTTTACAAGAACTATTGACAATCACGGTGACAGGTACAAAATTTGGTAAGATTTCTGCACAGCCTCATACTTCATAATGTTTACAGTTCTTGGGTAAAAACAAAACACTGGCGAAATTAGTCAATTGCCTTTTGAGGCCGACCACGGCTTTGTTTAGAAAAGTGTGGAAATTTCTCCCAAAATTTAAGAACGCACTGTGTCACTATGGAAGCTATGAGGGAACGAAAAATCTGATGTTTGCGACGGTTGTCTTAAAACTTTGTGGGCAACAAAAATTATTATAATTTCTTACACGTAAAATTACCAACAGTGACATTTCAATATTCTCCTGAAGAAACGAACATCAATCGGCTCAGCGTCGGCAACTAATACACTTAATTTCGGCCGATCGGCAATCAAAAAGTGACTTAAATCTATGCCACATAATGAGAAAACTGTTACTTCCATTTCAATCAACAAAATTGGACTTACTTGAGGATATTTTACTCGACAAGATTTCATAATTATTTCGCTAACCTCAATCGATTGTAGAGCTATCATCTTGTTCTTCGATTTTGGCGCACGATGCCGCTGTATTCAATCGAACGTTTGATTAAAAAATCAACGCCTCTTCTTTTTAAATATTGTGACGAAAATTTCTCTGCAGTTACTACGTTTTGGTTTTCATGTAAAAATTTGTTACCTTGAGAGGTTTCCAAACTTGATCGTTGTGTGACATTCACTTGGCAGACTAACATGCGAATGATCGATTGTCGCTTGGAAACAGGAAACAACACAAACAAAGCTCAATACACAATCTTTTGTGTAAGTAACTGACTGCATTGAGTTATCAGTGCAAAAGTTCACCAATTTTTTTCGAAATCCGTACTATTCTGAAACAAGTCCTTCACCGCCTTCAAATTCTAGCAAGAACAGGACAAAACAACTTTATTTAAATCATCAAGCGACGCAACTAATTGCTAGCCCTTAGATTAGCATCCAATTTCTCCTTTCAGCATAATCCCTCAATCAAACAAAACGTCACGAAAATCGAGGAAACTGATCACCACCTAAAAAAAGCTCTTAGCTTGATTGTTAAACAAATTCTCCTTAATTGTCAAAACGTTAGGAAATGTATAGAGAACAGGTAACTGTTCTGAAAAAAAACAATTAGACTCGTGTTGACGCATAATTTTGGCAGTGTACATGCTTCCTTGCCAAATAAAGCCAACCGCCACCTGGCCAGCCACAGTTTCTTCTCTCGAGGTCTTCGACATATTTTTTCATTGAATACTTGCTAATCCGTTGTGACATTTTTTTCTATGTCTGTCCGGATTGGCCATTTCATTAGTTGTTTACGAAGCTTTCTAACAATCTGAAACGGATTGTTCCATGAAAATATTAAGGCGGTCAGGAACAAGAATCCTACCCTTACGTTTTGTACGGAAGATGGCAGAGGTGCTTCTAGTTTTCATTCATGAAAAGGCGATCGTGACCTAATGCCCAAAGCAAACAATAGTGACAGCAATTCTTCTGACGTCACGGGGGTACTTGTTGTTTGAGTATGCAAATAAATCAATGTCCAAGGCTTTGTGATAACTGGTTGTCAGAGCTTTTAAGTAAACTTTGAATTCTGCTCCATATTGTTTAAATCGTCAGCTAAAAACATGCAAATGAGTTACCAGCTGCTTCAAAACATCACGTATGACATTATGAAATCGAAAATCTGAGCCTTTTTATCTGTACGGATATTCAATCGCTTTTCTTGACAGTCCAGTCGCTTAAACTTGTCAGCTGATCTACCGATTGCTTCTTGGCAGCATTTCCCCGCCCTGACCAACGATGAGTCGCGTTGATTTTATGCCTTCTCCTGTTTTGAGTCCTTCCAATGTCAACGCCGAAACGCCGAATGGACAAACTTTTGAGATGCAACCGTTGCCACACGGAGAAAATAATTTGTTCGAAGCTGCGGCTAACGGGCGCGTGGCTGAAATTAAAGCCTACTTTTCATCTTCTGAAAGCAAAGCGGACATTTTGGATAATGATGGCCGAGGTGCTCTTCACCACGCAGCGAGAATGAACCGCGTTGAGGTGATTGAATTTATGCTGAAAGCAGGCGCCAATGTTGATGTTCTCGACAGAGAAGGACTAACTCCTCTTCACGTTGCAGCCAGGTAATTATGAACAAGATTATATACTATATCATCTCGTGTGACACTAAGTGAAGACCGTGATGACCAGGAAGATCTGTAACCATCTTTGACGTATCTTGCATCAGAACAGATATACACTTTTTAAGTACGGAGAAAGCTTTTTAGTTTGAGAATTTCATTTGTACTCAGGGTGTTTTCGTATTACAAAATACTAATGTTTGCTTTCAGATAAACACGACACTGTAATCCTTTCGATTGCTGGTGCAAATGTATCCCCAAGTAACCGAAGAAATCGTATCGAGACAATTCATAATTTCGCACGCTGTTATTTCGTTGTGTAAATGTTTTTACCGGTATCAGAGGCTGAGTAATTTCGCCTCGAACTATGTTTTTACTTGCAGACGAAGATTATTGCATAAATTATTCATCGAACAGGATTCGAAACAAAAGAAACTTTCGATAAAATCGTTGATATTTGTTTTTGATGGTTGGGTGGCCTTTGACAAATAGAACATTAAACTGCTGATATCAATTCGACAATTCGGCATGGGACCTGTAGGGATGGCCAATATCACCTATTACGGGTAATCGAACCACCCTTTTCGCTCTGGAAGCGGTCAACGGCTCTCAATACGTGTCATGTTACTTCAGCTCTAACTCCTGCGAGGTTTCTTGTTCACCTCACTGAATCACGTCCTTGAAAACATTAGCTTAAATCCTCTTTAGAACGAAGTGGCTTGTTACTCATACACGTCTGTTTCAAGATCAGGGACGATCAATCGATGGTGTTTTAATTGTGCTCACCGAAACAAATCCAGCTTTCTCGGGGGAATTCTAACGCCTTTTTGTTTGTTTCTCTCTTCGTTTGTTTGTTTGTTTGCTTGATTTTATGGTTGTCTGCCACAGCTGAATATAAAACAAATTTCTCTCAGGTCAAATTCCCTTGAAGCCCTGGACTCTTTGCTGAGGAATGGAGCGAAACTGAACGCCGTAAGCACATCAAGAGGCTGCACTCCTCTTCACATTGCTACAGAATTCGGCAACAGACAGATTGTCCAGCGCCTGCTAAACGAAAAGAACCTGGAGATTGATACCAAAAATGGAGAAGAAGTCACTGCGTTACACATCGCCATCAGTCGTGGATATGGCGGTTTATGTACAGATCTTCTCCACAGCGGTGCAAGAGTTAATATATCTACTAAAGAGAGTAACACGTGCCTCCATTTGGCAGCAAGTGCTGCCAACACAGATATTTTTTCTGCGGTTATTCAAGCAGGTATGTCAGAAAGCCCCTTTCATTCAGTTGATGAAATTATTAGTTAGATGCCTGGCTAATTTTTCAAAAAGACGATTTGCGCCTGCAAGTTAACTTCAAGGGAGGAAAATCCTCTGTTTTAAACTCACATTTTAAAAAGGGGCGATTTTTACAGTGCTCTAGGACACTAACTAAAAGTTGGCAGTTCTTTAGAAGCAAATTATAACAGAGTATCAAATAATATAGTGACAAGAAGGAAACTCCAATTCCTCATCTGGAGGACTATCTTGGAGTCAACGATTTTGTCCTATAAATTGATTCTCACTATCAGCGTCTCCAGAAGCGGAGTAGAAGGGTAAAAACTTAATGACTGAGCGAGTATGATAAGCATTTAATATTATGAAAACCCAGCTGTTTTAAGAATTTCTCTTTAAATCATACTTCAGCTATGGCAGACATTACAAATTACCCAGGTTATGCTATGCAGTCTACCATAGATGTACCGGAATTTGGCCGGTTTGTCAATCAAACAAACGGAGACAAGAACACAGCGCTTCATATAGCTGTCCAAACAGGTCACTTTTCCATTTGTAACACCCTCTTGCAGCACGGGGCAGATCTCAACATGCAGAACAGATGCTATAAGACTCCTTTGCATTTGGCTTCTATCAGAAAAAAGAAAGAGATTATGGAATCACTCATCCAGCGAGGAGCGCAATTAAACATAAAGGATATGAAGCAGAGAACACCTTTACACAGGTGGGTTGCAAGCTCCTGGTGTAAGATAGATAATTTAAGCCTATCTTGGAAAGACCATAGGAAAATTTAGCCGAGAACTTCAAACAAGATTTCCACCCTATTCGCGAGGGGAGGAGGCCACGGCAAAGCTCAGTAGTGCGGGAAGTAAAAAGACTTTTTTTTGTTCGAATAATAATCTGCCTTGCTAAAGATTACCATTAACAAGAGTTCAAGACCATCTGAGTAGATGAAACAGCTTGACGTGAAAACGGTTTTGGCAAAGAGAAAACATGATATCGGTAAAGTTCTCTTTATTTTAATGAAAAAAAGAACACTTTTCATACGAAACTGTCCATCAAACTCTCTCTAGTGCGGCGTCGTTCGGAAATGAAGACGGCATCGATCTTCTACTCAAGAGCTTAGCATTCAGAGATCCGAAAGATCAAGATGGAATGACACCCTTTCTTTGCGCTGTAGCTGCTGGTCATACCAGATGTGCCGAGTTGCTCCTCGAGAATGGTGCAAATATCTCAGTTCGTGACAGTTACCAGCGATGCTGTTTTCACTTTGCTATAGAAAACGACAAGGAAGTGGTCTTAGCGACGTTGCTGCAAAGACCAGAGTGTGAACTCATAAATGCTCCTGATATTCAAGAAAGGACTCCATTGCATTGTGCTGCTTTATCGTCTAATATAAGGGTAATTTTCAAAATCAACTATAAATATAAACTGTGTGATGACAAGGCTGCGCATGCAACTCGAAATTTTATTTCTTATGAAGCAGGGAAATAGAATCATCGAACAAAAACGCTAAAACAAATGTAGAGTTCAGATGATTACATTCTCAAAAGACTGAGATTTCAAAGGCGTAGTGAAATGCCTAGTTAGCAATTGGAAAGCAATGGCAATGTGCACTAGTTATTCCAACCTTAAAAAACTCAAAGATTAAACGACGGCGACAGAGCTGAATAACGTATACGCATTCGCTAAGTTTTGCCGCGGAAACATAGATTTTGAGTCGTTCGCATGGTTGATTTCCTATTCTGTTGCTTCGAGGCGTCGTTTTCCTTGCTTGCCGCTTTTCTTTTACAGAACAACCTCCAAAAACTTGGTACACCCCCTAAAAATTTTCAGAAATTAATTTTCTCCGTAAAACCTCCGGAAATAGAAAAATGCCTTCGACGAAAACAGAGTCTTTTGGTTTAAAAGTCAGCCCTTATTATTTTCCCTAATTTCGCTAAATTTTAGACTTAGGACACTTGAGCCCGCGTTGTTTACCGCAAACTCTCTGACGTAGCATTTCATTATTCAGCTCTGTCAACGACGGCTACATACAACTACCTTATTTATCTTTGGGATTCTCCTTTCCTTGAAAGGAAGTCTTGGAGTCTTATAAATTATATGCCTTAAGCACACTGTGCCTTCCATGGTTCGTTGAGTCTTTTTTATTTCTTTTTTATTTCTTAAATTTTTAAGTTGTTAGACATTTTATTGGGAAGAAAGGCAAACAGTCTCCTCACAAATGGTGCTGGTAAAACTGCCCTGCATATAGCGGCCGAAACCGGAAGAGTTCGTCACGTTGAGGCTCTGGTCAAGAATTCTTGCGCCAGTGTTGAGCAAAAGGATCCCGATGGACGAACACCGTTACATCTCGCAGCATTGAATGGAAATGAGTATGAACTTGTTATTCGCTTCCATGTAGGGCATTGAGATGTCGGAAAAGGACAGATCATTGTTTTAACTAGGTGAAACAATAATTGGTTAAACGTAGTACTTAGGCCTGTGGTTAGAAGTTTATACATTACAAACAGAAGCCTCTGCGCTCACGTTGTAATGATATTCCCTTGTTTCTCTTGGTTTGAAAACCATCATGAACAGGTGGCCATAAGGCAAACTGAGCGTATGATATCCATTTTCTGTCATAGGAAAATCTGCGCAACCCTCTTACGCATGGGCGCACAAGTCGACAGCGTTGACGTCAATGGCTCCACTCCTCTTCTGCTAGCTGCTAAGATAGGTACAGTTTGCATAATCCAATTGTTCCTCGAGAGGAACGCCGACATAGATCACCAAGACAAGACTGGAAGTACCGCACTTCTGATTGCATCTACAAGAGGCCATGTGGATGTTGTAAAGATGCTTTTGAATCGACAAGCAAGTTTGAAACCGAATCAAAACGGTCTCAATTGTCTCGATGTGGCCATAGAGAACCAGCAAAGCGACGTTGTAATGGTTATTATAAAAAATTCAAGGTAAGCATCGTGATGGGTTGTTTTAAAATTGAACCCATCAACAAAACAAAATAGAACAGTGGATATATGGGACAATGACTGAATTTTCCTTAACCGTACCCTTTCACTCACGAGACATCAATAGTAACTCTCCTTACTTTCTGCCATACAATTCTTATGATATTCGTTCAGAGAGTTCGGTATTGGATCGACTATTTATCCCCAATTGATATTTTGTTAATCTCATCACTTGTCTGCTTGATATTGTATTAAGGAGAAGTTCTGTCTTGGTCACTTAATGGTAGTTAAAGGGTTAAGGATGATCTCACATCTACTTCTTATGTTAGTGACTAACGCATTTAGCTAACAAGGGACATTTCTACCGCTCTGATTGAATTGTGTAAGTAGAAGAGAGTAATGAATTTCTTTCCTTTCATCTGCAGATGGAGAGAGGTGTTATCTGCGAAGAGCTCGGATGGTCAGAACAGGATGGGCAAGCTAATTAAAAGGTTCCCGGATTCTGCCAAATGTGTGCTGGATCGCTGGATTCAAAGTTCTACCATCAATCGTTCCATCACATACGACTTCAGCCTTCTTGACCCAGGCCCTGATGATAGCAGTGGGCCCGGTGGGAAGCCGTTCTTTGGTCTTAAGGTCATGGTGGAATACAAGCAAAAAGATCTTCTGGTTCACGATGTTTCCAGAAAACTCCTCCAGAAAAAGTGGCGTGTCTATGGATGGTTTGTTTACTGGACGAACCTTGTCTTGTTTTCCGTATTTCTTGGACTTATGACATATTTCATGTTACATGAACGCGGCAATGTTGTGCTCAAACCTCAAAGTAGTTACGGCGAAGATGAAGAAGAGCAAGTTTTCAAAAGGAAGGATACTAACGTGTTCAGACACACTCTTGAGTTCCTTATTCTGATTTTTGCATGTCTCCACCTCTTAAAAGAGCTGTATCAAATCTATGCTCAGCGGCTAGAGTATTTCAAACAAGTGACGAATTTATTGGAATGGGTCCTTTACCTGTCGACCATAATATTTATTCTCCCTTACATATTTGAAAATCTTACAAGTCTTCGAAGTTATCCGAACCTCACCTGGCAGTTAGGAACAGTTGCTGTATTTCTGGCTTACGTAAATCTTATATTGTTCGTTCAGACTCTGAATTATGTCGGTATCTACGTGACAATGTTTTTCCAAGTGGCAACCACTGTGGGTAAAGCCATCAGTATTTTCGCCTTGTTTTCTTTGGCTTTTTCCGTGGTGTTCTTCATATTATTCAGGGAACAGGTAATAAGAACCTGCTATATTTTTTCATGTATTTCATTGTTTTGGCTCTAGGTAAAATCCTTAGGACATAGGGCTGCTTAAGGAATTTCCTTTCCTCCTGGAGCTTTTCAAAGATCATACTTCCCCTTCATAAACCTGCTCCACTTCCAACCTCGGAAGCAGTTTTCTTAAACGTGTAGCTCGTCCTTAGTTTGTTGATTTTCAAGGCATATAGAATTACCGTATTGTATACTAATTTCAAGCCTGCCATTCATCTTGTTCGGCCAAAGTGGAGGCAATTTATCCGAAAGGCAGTTAGCTCTAGAGTTAAGTTGATTATGACTATCTTGATTCCAATTCATTATTTTCACTTTTTTCATTGTGTTTTTTTGGTTTCTTTGATTTTTTTTTGTTTGTTTGTTTGTTTGTTTTTTTTTTTTCAGGAATCGTTTAAAAACTTCGGCTTAACTTTAATGAAAGTAGTTGTAATGACTATTGGCGAGCTCGATTACACCACCATGATCGTGGACAATTTTAACGTTACCACAGACTCCGGAGCGCCTTTAGTGCCTTACCGAGAAGCGTCTCTCGTCTTCCTATCCCTCTTCATATTTGCCATACCTATCGTTCTCATGAACCTTCTGGTAAGTGAGTTTAAATGTATAAATTCAGCTTACGGGCAAGATGGCCCGTATCGTCTATCGCATGTTCAATGGCTGCCATTTGGCAATATTTTGCTCACAGTTCGCCATTACTTACTCCTGAGTGGAGAGAGACACCTTGAGAGCGAGGTTGTCATGATTTGTCATGATTTGTCGCAATAGTGACTGATCTACCGGTAACTTTTAGTTACCAGACGAGTAATATGTCCAAAAATACAACCATGCCCTTTCCTTATTTTCGTTTTAGTGGTGGTAGACCTTTTGTTGCAGCTAGTTCCGCTACTCACTCGCTATTTTGATGATATTCTTCTACGCGATGAAAGCAAATGGCTAGAGTAATAATTCCAAATTTGTCTGCCCCACGAATCTTCTCCAAACTACGAACCTCTTGTGTTCATTCACCCTGGTGTTTCAACAGGTCGGCTTAGCTGTCGGTGACATTGAATCTGTGCAGCGATTTGCGTATCTCAGAAACAAGGGAAAGTTTGTGGACTTCGTCTACGGAGTGGAAAGAAGATTTCCAAAATTTATCACGCGCTATTTTTACAAGCCTCAATTGGTGATATGTGGTATCCTCTTGGAGAAGATCTCGTTACAGTACGTACAATTTCATTTGGGCAATTACTTTCAGGAAAAACCTTAATTGACGGTAATACTCTTTGTGAGAATTACCTTTCCCTATTTATTATTGGAAAATGATAGAGCTAGAATAAGTTTTCAACGTTTGTTACAGAGGATATTTCAATTAAGGCGTTTACTTTGTGAGAGAAGAAATGAGCAAAGCGTTTTTTTATCTTTATATTTTCAGGGAATACACCTTTGTTATTGACCAAGACCTCGATGAAGATGAAGATTACATGACAGCAGACCAAGTGGAGGAGCAAAGGCTAGAAATCCTCACCAAGGAACTGGCAAAGACCACGCAACGACAGTTGTCTATCATGGGAACGATTCAGGACCAGAGGAACCTTTTACTTGCCTTAGCTGCCAAAGCTGGGATTGACACTCGAGAACAAGACACTAGATCCGTCTCTAGGCTGTGAATTAAATCGGTCATTACAAGAGGCAGTGTAGGATAGAATAGTCACGGGTTCAAACTTTGCAAAATAAATTTTTAAAATTCATTTTTCCTGCCAAACAGTTTTAACTTTATGCGTTCTATGACGTAATAGCGTTCCTGTTATAAATGAGCGCGTCGCGCCCCGCATACGTTTCCCAAGGATAAAACGCTTCACTATTCTTGGAAATCATCGTCCAGGACGCTTTGGTTACCAAAAGTTTGACACTTTTCCCATGGAAAATGATTGATGAAACGCAAAAAATAGAGAACTTAACGATGAACTGAACAATTGATTTAGACTTGACCGTGCAACATGGTACATTTGGCCACGACAAAATTCCGCTTTTTTTGGGCAGTTGAAACGACAGGTAAAAGGCTATTCGTTTTAGGAGATAATAACCTTATTGTTCTTTCGGAGAAAGTATGTATGCGCATAATAAAAAAATGATTGATTTGAGAAGGCCAAGAACGAAGCTATAAGGCAGTTCCATCAAGTAGCGGAGTTTGTTGTTAGGCACATAGTACATATTGTTTTAAATTTTCTTGTTTTATCTTCTGTAAAAGACTAAAGTGAAATTAGTAACGTATTTTCATTACAATCGAGGCTCCCAACGAAGGAATTAATACTGAATTCTATTCAGTGTAGGCTAAAGTTTATCGTAGTTGCTGTTTCAAGATATTTTTGAAAATTTCAGTTGCATTTTTTTATCACTTTTGATCAGACACCGGGAAGCATTTACAAACTCTTAAGTAATATTGTAATGCGATCGACTTTGTTTTTATTTTAAAATAAATCGTAGAGCGAAGCTCTGGTTCTCTGTTGATGTTGTATTCCGATTTTTAGAGTGCAGTCCCATGGTAAACGACTCAACTCGTTACTCTTGTCCACTCCTGTCTTCAGTTCTGCGTGAGAATTAATTGTCGTCTGGGAGTCAAAACAAAATTATAATTTTTGTCAAATTTAAATGTTGTTAAAGTTAGGGTCTAATCTTCAATCAAGAGGAGATTAATTAAACCGACGGAAACTTATATTTACTTATTGGTCATCATTAATGCCTCTACTCTCAATACCGTGAGAGGATTAAAACATAGGGTGGAACCAGCCCAAAGTTTCCATCTTCATGCGTTTAAAACTACATTTTCACTGGCCTGTAATCTCACCCAAGCGACAAGCTGGCCCTCTTAGGACATGCTTTAAATTCTAAGCGATTCTCTTTAAACACCTACATAGGGAGATGGCGCGATCATGAACAATTTCACACATGAGGGAAAAGAATAAATTAATATTAGTACAGATATTAACTGTCAACCCTTCTTGCTGCATTAGTATTTCTGAGATCAGAGATAGGATTACCATTCTAATAATAAACAAGCGAATGATCATGGTCAGTTTGGAGAGCAGGTGAACCAGAGTAGTCTAAGATCCTGCCGTTAACAATTCCTGAGGTCAGTCTTGAATGCTAAAATAACTACTAAACTGCTAAAAAAAAAGCGTCAACGCTGCAGCAGCAGAAATTAATTGCATGCTATTGTTACGGAAATCGGTTTTGACCGTCTAGAGAAATGAATGACTGAAAAAGAAGTCAAATCCTCAAAAGCGCAGTGACATATTCGACACATTGGTTCCCTTCGCACGTGAATAAAGAGTTCGTGTTCTTTGTTCTCTTGTCGGCTTCTCCCGCTATGATAACTATTCTAAAAATATGCAAGTTTTAATTCTGCATTGAAACGCTTTGAAATAATTGGACCCCACTGGAAGAAAACGTGAGTGGCACAGGATGCAACGACCTCCCTGTCAGAGCCGAAGTAACTAGAAATCGTAATCTTCTTGCAAGCTCAGTTTTCGCAACGGGCATTTCGTTTGAGATGCATTTCGACTATGCTCCTTTTCCTCTTCTGTCTTATCCTAGTCACTATGAAGCGGACTCGCTGACTGAACCGCGTTTTGAAAGGGAAGCGTTTCCTTGCAAAGTGAACGATCTATGCGAGGCCATAGCTAAAGGACAAGTGGATAAACTAAAAAGTTACATATCATCGACTGAGAACAAAGCAGATATCCTAGATCAGAATGGTGAGAGTGCCCTCCACCATGCGGCAAGAATAAATCGAGTTGAAGTCATGGATTTCCTGATAAAAGCTGGGGCCAGCGTTGATATTTACAGCAAAGATGGATTTACGCCATTGCATGAAGCTGCACGGTAAATATGAACAAACTAGCAAGTTTTAATGGTTTCTATTTATGTTAACGCTATCTGTCTCAGATAATTAACAATAGAGGAAGTGTCTCAAAAATGAGCTTGACGCCCAACTATGTTTGTGGAGCTATTATGAAAAAGTCGTCTTAAAGTCCGCCGAATTTGAATTTGACAACAATCTTAGTGTTAAAAGCGTGCACTTGTTGAAACTTAATTCTATTTTACTAAGACTTTAATAATATTGTGGATCTTTATCAATCAGGAAATAATAATTTGAAGAGAATTTTTATGCTAACGTGATTTCAATTTTTATCATGGTTGTAATTGTCTGAGAGATAAATTGCGTGGTAAGACTAGATTCTCACACAGATTACAATAATCCTATAAATCTAAAAAGTACTTTGCTGCCAATAAGGACTCAAAATAAAAAGAAGCGAACTGCTCAAATGGCGGCAAAACGCGGATGACTTAATCGCGATTTGCTTGAGGTTTTGGATCTGATTGGTTGAGAGAGGGGCAGTAGTTTTCTGGATCAATCACATAACGAAATAAAACAAAAAACATATTTAAAGCGACCCCAGATCGCTTTCGACACTCAATTTTGCACTGCTCTGGTGCCGAGTAATACCCAAAGGCGGACTCTTTTTCGCTCCTGGACTATTTGGAGAACAAATTTTGAATACGGTAACCAAATGGATAACATCAAACAGTTAAGCGAATTTAACCCGGGCTTTGGAGAAGCAAAACCCGATGGAGTTATGGAGTGGAGAATTTAAACATTGAACCTCCATATGTCAAATAAGGGGTTCTAAACCATCAGCTAAGCCCAGATATATTTTCCGAAATAAGGTCTGTTTTGCTGGCCATGTCCCTATCAATGATTTTTGAAGCACGTCCCAATCTATAACAGGCTTATAGTGTCTGCTTTGTTTGTAACAGGTCTAATTCATTGGAGGCTTTTGACAATTTGCTAAAGAAAGGAGCCAATCCAAATGGTAGATCTACAACAAAAGGTTATTCTCCTCTTCATATTGCTACGCAATACGGTAATAAAGAGATCATCCAACGACTGCTTAATGTGAAAACCTTGAAAATTAATGCAACTAACCGGAACGGACTGACTGCTCTTCATTTGGCCATCAGTCGTGGATACGAGGAGATATGCAGTGATCTTATTGCCAAAGGATGTAGTATCAACATAATTACGAGGGATGGGCAAACGTGTCTTCATCTAGCAGCAGATGTTGGCATTGAGGGTATTGTTTCTGATGTTATCCAAACCGGTAAGTATGAAAGGATTTGCAAAAAAGCGCTAGAGTTAAAAGTGACAGAAAACTTATAGTAGGGTTTGCTTCTTTCAGCTCTGAGGAGTATCTGGAAGTACCCTGTAAGTGCTATGTCGGCTTCCAAGGACATTCCAGAATTTGATCAGTTTATCAACAGAAAAAACAAAGACCAGAACTCTGCTCTTCACTTAGCTGTTCAGACAGGTCGCTTATCTGTATGTCAAATCCTTGTGCAGCATGGTGCGAATGTCAACAGACAAAACAAGCATCAACAGACACCTTTGCATGTGGCTTCTATGGGTAAAAACAAAGACATCTTGGAATTACTTATTAAATGCGGAGCTCGAACGGATCAAAAGGACTCCAAACAAAGAACTCCTCTGCACAGGTGAGTTTTGACCCGTTGCGTTGGTCCTTTTGGAGGGTAGAATGACACAACGATACTTTTTAAAATTTTATACCTTATCCTGGCAGCTTTCTGAAAATCAATGACACTTATGACAACTGCAAGCAAAAAATATTTTTAAGGCTAAAAAAAATTATTTGATAAAGTGCCATTGTCAAAACTGACTTCTTTACTCTAAACTAATAGATTATTCATTTCGATATTGGGACTAAATGGTTAGATTGTTTCTTTCCAGCCATTTTGCTTTTGTTTTGTTCATTTGCTTTTAGTGCGGCATCTTTCGGAAACCCAGAAAGTATTAAAGTCCTGCTGAGCAACTGCGCAACTCCAGATCCTAGAGATACAGATGGTATGACACCTCTCTTGTGTGCCATAGCAGCTGGCCACACAAAATGTGCCAAACTGCTCTTAGAGTACGGTGCAAACATTAGAGCGCGTGAAAGGAATCAACGTGGCGGCATTCATCTCGCTGTAGAATATGACAGAGAAGAAATGTTGAAAATGCTGTTGGAAAGATCAGGATCACAATGTATAAATATTCCGGACATACAGGTAAAGACAGCTGTTCATTACGCCACTTCCTCTACAAACTTAAAGGTTAAGGCAAAACTAAAATCTGACTTTCGTCAGTACTTGTTAAGCTCAAAGTAAGTTTCGTCAATCATTGTATCCTTTATTTGCAGCTTCTAGAGATTTTGTTGGAAAAGAAAGCAAACTGTTTACTCGAGGATCGTGCTGGTATAACTCCACTACATACAGCAGCGGAGTTTGGAAAGGACCGCCATGTTGAGGCTTTAGCTAAGACTTCTCTTGCCTGTGTAGATCAAAGAGATTCATATGGAAGAACACCGCTTCATTTTGCAGCATTAAATGGAAAAGGGTGAGGCTTAATCAGTTCCTGAAGCTACATACTTTAGTTCGGTACATAAAAATCAGAGACCGTCTCCTGAATCTATTAACTAGATAATTTGGTTAGGCAAGGGACGTTAAAGAACCCACTCACGAGATTACTGTGATGTGGTCTGGCCTGTTTACTGGAAATTGGGGGGAGGAGGCATCTTCAAATAGGTTTCCTTCGATTGTTTGTAAACTGCTGATGCATTCTGGCCAAAGTCCCCCGAACAATGTTGAGATGCGCATTTGATCATATCCACATGTTAATTTGCGCAATATAAATATTAAATTATTATTATTATTATAAAAATTCTTTGGACGAGTAACGATTATCATAATGCTTCATTTGATAGAGCCCTGTGCCTTTTTCCGCGAAATTCTCTTAGTACATTTTAAGAGTAGTAAATTTAGTTGTGTCAGTAGTTAAAGTTTAGTGTAGTTCCTGTAAATTTGAGAAGGAAAAATAGTAGTTTAGCCGCATTGTTTTGTAGTTAAGGTGTCCATTTTTTGCAGGAAAATATGTTCAATCCTTCTTCAAATGGGAGCCGAAGTTAACATTTCAGACGCCTACGGCTGTACACCTCTGATGTTTGCAGCCAAAACGGGTGCTTCAGGCTTAATTCGAATGTTTCTTGAGCTGAACGCCGACATAAACCAAGAAGACAAAAATGGCAACACCGCGCTTTTGTTTGCTTCTGCCAGTGGTCACGTAGATGCTGTCAGGATCCTTCTGAACAGTCGGGCGATCTTGAAACCAAACATAAGCGGCCTTAACTGCTTCGATCTGGCCATAGAGAATCAACAAGGAGACGTTGTTATGGCAATGATTAAGAATGCCAGGTATAAAATTAATTTAAAGGGTTTACTGCAAGCTCGGTCCATACAATTAAAGAGTATACTCTCTTTGCATGGCTGGTATTTATCTTAGGTAAATAGCAGATATCATGAATTTAAGTCTCCCACACAGGTGTTACATCGAGTCAACACAAACGTTGATATGTAATACGAAGATTTGCTCTATAATATTAAGTACTAAGCATTATCCAAAACAATTTTAAAACTAGAATTTTATGGTAAGTAGGGTTGAGCTTCATATTGACAAAAAAGCGTTCTCTAACAAGAAATGTTTCAATAAAGAAAGTTGGATCGGAAAGAGAAACCTTAAGTTTTTTAGCTGAAATTATTTTCGCTCACTCCCAGATGGAGAGAGGTCTTGTCAGCCAATATCCTAGATGGTCAAAATAGGATGGGAAAACTCATTCAGCAGTTTCCCGATGCTGCTAAATCTGTCATGGATCGGTGCGTCCAGCGGTCTCTGAGCCCACGATCCATCAAGTACGATTTCAGCTTTCTAGATCCAGGTCCTGATGATACAAGCGGACCAGATGGAGAGCCTTTCTTTGGTCTCAAGGTGATGGTGGAACACAAGGAAAAGGAACTCCTGGTACATGAACTTTGCAGAAAACTTCTCAAGATCAAGTGGCACAGATATGGATGGTTTGTTTATTGGACAAACCTTATCCTGTTTTCCTTGTACCTCTTCTCGATGACCTACTTCATGGTGACAAAGCGTAAAGCGGTGATCCTGAAGCGAAAACATGATAAAGATGATCCTGATGATGCTGACATTTTCAAGAACAAGGAAGCATTGAATAAAGCTTTTCCTTTTCTCATACTGGCGTTCGCATCAATTCATTTGTCCAAAAAGTTCTATCAGGCTGTCCTTCAAAGAGTGGAGTATTTTCTACAACTGACGAACTTGATGGAATGGGTGCTCTATACGGCGAGCATAGTCTTCATTCTACCATACGTCTCATCCAGCTTTTCCAGTCTTCAAAGAAACCCTAGGATAGCCTGGCAAATAGGAACAGTAGCTGTGTTCTTGGGGTACATGAACCTGATATTGTTTATTCAGACTCTGGACTATGTTGGCATCTACGTGACAATGTTTTTCCGAGTGGCTATCACCGTACTCAAAGCTATCAGTCTTTTCTTCCTGTTTGCCTTGGCTTTTTCTGTGGTGTTCTACATACTGTTCAAGGAGCAGGTACACATCTTAGCTGTCTTTCCTAGGTTTCCTATATCCACTTACGAGTAGAATATGTCAAAAAAAATTTTTTTTTGCCTTCTTGGTCGACTGCGGACACGTACACATGTGTCCTCCCAATCCTTGTATCAACCAATGAATCGGCCGGATTTAAATTGTGGGTGTGTGTGTGTGTGTGTGTGTGTGGGTGTGTGTTTTTTTTTTCTTTAACTTACCCGGTGTAGGATGTGGTACTTTTGTTTTCTTTTGTTTAATTTCTCATATCGCATTTGCTTTTCGGTTTGTCCATCTTGCCAGAAGTATTTTACGTTGAGCAATTTCACTGATATTAAAAAAGAGAACTCTTCTCTTCTTTTTAGAAAGCATTTGACACCTTTTTCTTCACGCTGGTAAAAGTTATAGTCATGACCCTTGGTGAGTTAGATTATACCGCTTTTTTAGTGGACAACTTGGAGGCCACGAATCCAGAGACCAAAGCGCCTCTCCTGCCTTACCGTGAATCATCCTTTGTATTTCTCTGCCTCTTCATCTTTGCCATGCCCATCATCCTTATGAATCTTTTGGTAAGTTATTGCAACGCCTAATTTGTAAGTTGTAAGTAATATGACGCTCTGAGCATGATCCAGGCGGCTCTAAGACTTCATTGGGGGCGCGCATGTTACCTCCTCCCATCAGCTTTCCGTTTTAAAATAACTTGAAAGTGAAAATCTAGAGGAATTTCGAAAAGTCGTTCAAAATACTCCAGATGGCATCTGAACGTGTCTAAAGATTAAACCTTGTACGTGGGAGGATGTGCCTAGGCCTATCTTAAAGGTATGAATCTACGATTACTGTAATATAACTCACCAGGGTAATTTTTGGGCAACCTCACTCTACAATTCGTTCCAAAAGCTTATCATGACGATAGGTAGATAATCGCCGTTGACTTCCATATGTATGAGGATATCTTAAATAATTCACCTGTCTTTTAAACTTAGAGCTGGCTAGAATTTGTTCATTTCATGTCTTTCACGGTCGAAAAAAGGTAAGACAGGCTTAAATTCCCATTCCAAAAGCATTTTTACCGACTACATCGCCTTCTTTGGCCGGCCTAAACTCGAAAAAAACTACATTTTCAGTTTTCTTATTTTTTCACAGGTCGGTTTAGCCGTTGGAGACATAGAGTCTGTGCAAAAGTATGCTTTTCTGAGAAACAAGGGAAAATTCATCGACTTCGTGGTTGGGGTTGAAAGAAATTTACCAAAATTTGTTACCCGGCGTTTACACAAACCTGAGTTGGTCGTAACTGGACGATACGTGGACAGGAAAATTTCGTCAGGGTGAGTTTTAACTGATACGGTAGCAGAGTATTTGGACTTTGAAGTTTGCTCAAGCTTTCGCAGCGGAAGTCTCAGTCACCGACAACAGTCCTCTGCAGAACAGCTTTGAGCCTGACGACTGACCACGATCAACTGTTACTACTCGGTTAGGGCCACCAACTTTTCTGTCGGTGGATAAAACTGAAATTCCTTAACTTTTTTCTCAGGGGGGTGCAAAGCGTATTAAACTATCTTTGGTAGTGCTAAGGGGAAGAAGTTGGCCCCTTTCCCTTGACCAAGTTTATAAAAAATTACCAGGTTTATCAATAAGAGAACAAGTGACCAGAAACTAAGTATGTTAGGCACTTATTCACTAAGAGCAACGCCTTCAGACAAGGTACATGAGCAACTCTTTGTGGTGGCCTTACCTGCGCACACGAAACCATTTACAGTGTACACATACTTTCCGAATTACATTTTTCTTAACTACACAACCCACAAAAACTATTGATTTGTATGTTTTAGTGCATTTTGTGACCTCCCTGTAATAGTAGTTTACCATATTGCTAGCAGCTATATTTCAAAACCTTTTTTAAAGAATTTTCCAGAAAATTATTCACTTTATAATAGAAATTTGGTACACCTGTATTTTATCAACAGTAAATATTCCTTTGAAGACGAAGACCTCGGTAATGTAGAACAAACAACCGAAATCGAGGACGGACAAAGACTGGAAGCTCTCGCAAAGGAATTGGCGAGGGCTAAGAGACGGCAACTGTCAATCATTGACGCCATGCAGGATCAGAGACGCCTTTTATTAGCTCTAGCTACTAAAATTGGCCTAAATACCTGTGAGGAAGCTTGAAGATTCTTTCTCGCATAGTACCAGTTGACCACTAAGGTGATTAATGCCATATTCCTGCATTAACGATGGTTTTTCAATTCAGTAAAACCTTAAATAAACGGCTCGCTTCTTGCAACTTCTCTCCAACTAAGTGCCCCTCATTTCGGCTAGAACTCAAAACAAAAGCTCCACTCCTTGAGGAAGGAAGTGCCTGAGTTATGAGACAATTGGGACCCAAGCTTTGCATCAAATGAAAGTTTTATTTGTTATATTTTTGGTCGGATACGTAAAAACTGCTCAAGCGGATGTACAATAAGTTAATGACAAAAGCATTTAACTCGACTAAGAATTGTTTTGAGCTGATGCCAATTCGTCCCATGCAAGGTGCCTGGGCAATTTTTGAATATCAGGTGTGCTTGACATTTGTGTGAAATAAATTGATATATGAAAAAGACCGTCATTACAGGAAATTATTCCACCAAAACATTTGTTTTCAATGAACTGCCATCGTGCATTTCGAATAATATAAATTGTCAAGGAAGTACCGAGTCCAACAGAAATCCTAGAAAAGAAACCATGTAGGGACGGCTTGGATCAGATAGGCCAACAATATAAAATGGTTTCCCACTTTTGACTACAGAGGATTTTCTTTTTAGCGTCGTATGATCGACGAGGGTTTGCCTGGTCAGTTAGTCTTGCGGGTAAAGTATGATTACCAGGCAAGGGAGTGAAATGAACCTTGTCGTAAATGCTTTTGTTGTTGGGCCATCGTAATTTGATCAAAAATAAGACATAAACAGCAGTGATAAACATATTGAACTTGCAAATTTTGATTATGACTTGACGTTACGTATATACTTCACATACATTTTCAAAAGTAACCGTTGAAATTTAAAACAGCTATGTATATATATAACTAAGGTGAGAGGACTGAAACCAAGATTAAGCAAAAAACTTAACAATAAACAATAACACTAGAGCAGATTAATAAAGCAACAGCTTTTCACTTCCGACGTTCACGTTGAAA